AAATATTGTATGTATGGATTTAGAAATAAAAATATAAAAAAATTTTTTTTATTAAAAATGAAGAGAGTACTTAAACATGCTAGATAAACATTTAATATAAAAATTATTAATGTTTGTTTCTAAAAATAAAAATAGTAAGATACTTAAACGGAAGGATAAAGATTGAAAAAAATATATTTTTGTTTTTAAAAATTAATAAAATGTTCGAAAAATAAATTTATTAAAATACCCCAAGAATATTTTAATAAATTCTATGTATAATTGATGATTCCGATAAGTTCAAATTTTTCGAGGTTTTTGAAATTTTTTTCAATTTCCGAACTCGATTCCCGATTATTTTGTTTCGAAACAGCCTTACCCAGATCTCATAAACAGAAAGAGCCGGACAACTAAAAATTTGGTTAATGTGTTTTTTTCAGATCTGCATGAAACTATACTTTTTGTAATTACGGGTTGGCCTTGGAGAGACCATCCATGGAAGTGCAGGAAAGGAGTGAAATTAAACCGGAAAATATCATGAAACCTACGGATATGGATACAAATAAGTTCAAAATGACTGCGGATATCCGTCTGTATCCTACGTAAATATCGAAATACGGATACCAAAATCCATGTACATTACCAAGTCTGCATGAAACAATCAAGAAACAACACGTTTCGTGAATTATTGACTAGGGTTGTTTTCCGACAAGGGGGAGGGACGGGGAATTTTCGTGAAACTCTCAAATTTCCCGACGTTCGGGGGGATTTTGTATATTCCGTTTTTTAATAGCATATATTTCCGTTTTTCCGTTTTTTTAATAGCAAAAGATTTAAAGATTATTTTTTAATTTAAAAATAAAAAATTTTTTTAAAGAAAGGTTTTAAAACAATTCAATTTTTAATAAATTTAGAGGAATTTTGAGGAGAAAATAGAATAATAAAAAATGTAGGTTTTTTGCGAATTTTTTTCTAGACCTGTAAAATTTTTTAGAAATAAAAAAAATTTTCTATGAACTAAAAAATATTTTTGAAAGAAAAATAATATTATGAAACTAAGTTTGACCTCACTAAAAGACAATCATTTAGGGTTGAAAATTTTGTATCTTACTAGGGTAGGGGTTTTCAAGTCGGGCCGAAGTTCGAGTCATTTTTTGGGCCTCATTTTTATCGGGCCGGACCAACCGAGGCATTTTTAGGCTAAAATTCGATGCCCGACTCGATCTTTCGGACTGGACCGGGCCCACGACTTTATATCTTACACTGAAGGGTATCTTAAAATTAGGGTAACACTTTGGCATCTTACTCTACCTAATGACCATACAAATTTAGAAAAACGTACATAGGTATCTTAAATAGGGGTGTATCTAGTGTTAGAGGCACCCTAAAATGAGATCAGTATTTTATAATAAGAGGGGTTAACTTGGAGGTATTGCTTAGGCAGCAGATGTGGGCCGGAAATGACGAAGGTGTTGGAAATCGGAACTGTCGGAAATCGGAAATGGCTCAAAAGTCGGAACTCGGAAATCTGAATTTCGACCCGCCTCTGCTAGACAGCCCTCCTCACTATGTTTATTATTAACCTACCAAGTTAAAAAAAACCTTATCTTAAATATAAGGGTGTGTATTAAACAGAGGTGTATCTAATATTGGGGGTAATTATTTGGAGGTGTAAAACTCCGACTGTACTAAAAAACATTTTTCAAACGTAAAATAAAGGATTTTTATTGTGCAAAAATAAAATAAGTAATAATAATAAGTGTGCAGTAGAACAACGAAGAATGGCATTAAATTGAAAAGAAGACGGAAACGAAGGGCTTGAGAGGGCCGGAAAAATAAAAGAAAAAAGAATTTGTAAATTCAACGACTTTAAAAAAATAAAAATGAAAAACAAAAAAATTTTGAAGGGCATTGAAAGGGTTTTTGATTTATAATGAGAAAAAGGAAGCAAATAAAATAAAAAAATGAGAATGGCAATAAAGAATGATGTTGCTTTTATTTATGGATAATTTAAGGAAAAAAAGACGTCTTAGAATATTGTTTGAAAAAAAGTAGCAAAAGCCGACCCCAGAAACCCGTCCCCGACGATTTTTTGGCAAAAACCTCACCCCGAGAACCCCCGATCCCCGACACTCCCGACGAAAGGACGGGTTGCTAGCCTATTTAGAAAATAAAATAAAATGTCGTTTTCGGTAAATGATGTCGTTTTTAATCTTAATATTAGACTCAGATACAAATTTTTCATACTCGAGTACATTCTGGCCCCGTTTTTTGGTTTGAAAATTTTATCTTATAATGAGGTCATAGGTGGGTCAGAATTCCGATTTCCGACGTTTTTTCCTTCCGATTTCCGACTTTTGAGCCAGTTTCAATTTCCGGCTCTTCAGATTTTCGACACCTCCGACTGTTCCGACACACCTCTGAATGAGGTGTATTTTAAATAGGGGTATCGCTTAAGAAAATTTAAGATATCTTAAAATTAGGTATATGTATTGGGTGTTGTTAGAAAAATTACTTTTTAAAATTAATAAAAACATTTTTTATTATTTCCCATTTTTAGTTTGAACTTATGGTACACCTTTTTGTTTACGAAAAGTTTATTTTATGGAATTTTTGAGAAAATAATAATTCTGAACCATCCTTGCTAAAATTCAGTGGTTCATTTTTTTGCTCAATCTGCTTTTGATAAATTTTTGATCCTTGACTTTAGGACACTAATTTTTCTTCCTATTTTTCTCTTTTCTCCGACAGAAAACAAGTTTCCCGATTTTGGGAAATCGGGATCCCGACTAGGAAAACATCGGCAATTCCCAGTTCTTGGGGATCAGGAAACGGGACGGCAGGATCACTTACATGCACTCCAATACTAGATACACCCTCAATTTTAGAGTGTATGTCTCCCAAAAAAGTGAAAATATAGAAAAGTTTAAATGCAGATCTTGACCGAGATCTATACTAAAAATATCGTGATACTCTTGTTAGGAGATAACACTCTCGACTTCACTTTGCTATAGTTCACATAATTAACTATAGTTCTACCTATAAATCGTACCTAGACGTCATCTCGAACAAAAATTTTGGTTATTGGCTTCGAGATTTACAAGATAATGATCTCGATTCTCGTACGACCCTCCCAATCCCCTTCCTAGTCCAATCCCACCACTGTGGTTCATTCTCAGTTTACACAGTTGCCTGTACTAGGCTTTTAACCTGGTATATTTATATCCAGTTTATTCTCAACAATTTAAACAAAATTTAAAAAATATTGATAATGACTTTAAATAATTTTCTCGTTTTTCTTTTTTTATTTACAAATTTATCCCTATTAATTCAAGTAATTAATTGTGGCTGTCTGAGCTACTTGCAAAAAAATTGTGATAATTTTAAAAATAGATGCTGTAGTGGTTTATATTGCATAACTGATAAATATGGCGATTACTTTTGTGATTCCGGAAACAATTGTATCAAGTATCAAGGCTATAGTTGCAGTGCGTTTGCGATGAGATATTGTTGTTATGGACTATATTGTTCCACACAAACAAAAACTTGTGTAACGTGTATGGTAGAAGGCGAATATTGTTATGGTATTCATAATTTTCCATGTTGCAAGGGTTTACATTGTGCTGGTAGATGCATAAAAAAAGCTGAGGAGTTGGTTAAAGAAATGAATTAAAAAGGAAGCGGCCAACGTACCGCGAGCCCAACACACCGGAGTGCTATAACTTTGTTCAAAATTATCGGATCCGGGACGCCATTGTATGGTGCGAAGCATCTCTATGAGCTCAATCGAACCATGCATAAAGTTTCGGATTCACTTTCTGAACCAAGTTATAACTCGGTGGTATGCTTTGGTATACCCAAGTAAAAGAATTATTATAAAATTGTTAAACAATTTCTGTCCTATTTATTTTTTAAAATTTATCTAAAAATAGCTTTTCCTTTCTATGTACTTTAGTTTTTTCAGATTTGTTGAATAAAATAAACATATTGTTTTAATTTAATTTTTGATTCGGACAAGACTTTTGTCATTCAAACGGCATTTTGCCAAATTTTAACATTTTCTAAGTCTTTCCTAGCACTTAAAATTTAAAAAAAATTTTCATTTTCACCCTAATGTATAACTAGGGTAAAATCAGCACATCAGCAACGGATCATCACATCAGTTAGGAAAAATTTCTGAATATTAGGATATGGTATTCGAACTAGAGGATGTCGAGGTCAAGGCCTCGCTTAGGCCGAGGTCTTAAACAATTTTCACGCCTCGACCTCGATTTTGCCTAGAAGCTGAAATCTGACAATGAAAATGGTTATATTAAAAATTATTTAAAAAAGATAGATTTTGAAATATGTATAAAAACAAATATAAAATAAAAAAAATTTTTATCAAGTCGATTTTAAGCAAATAAAAGTTTTTTTTTCTTTTTTAATTAATTTAGACAGTAGAAAATGTGAAAAAATGTTTTTTGTGTTTTCCTTTAAAATTGGATTGAAGAAAAATAAATAAAATTTAAAAAAAACAAATTTTAAAGTCCAAAGTTTTTTTCCTAATTTAATTTAAATTGATGGAAATGAAAGAAAAAAATTGGGAGAGAAAAATAAAATTTAAATAGAAAAATCATTAAAAATTCAATCAAAAAGAAGAATAACAAATAGCAATTTTCCATTGCTGTCGAAATTGTTCAGCAAGCTTTTTTGCTTCGTTTTGACGTCGTTCAAGTTGGTAGCGACGATCTCGTAGTTTTTCCTTTAAATTTTAAATAAAATAATCTTGGAAGCTTATAGACATTGAAAATAAAATTAGTTTGATATCTTTTATTTATGAGGATACTCTCACTAGAGTGTCACTTTTTTAATTACTCATTGTCAACACTTTATAAAAGGATTATGTTAATTTCTTAACAGTGATTTTTTCTTTAAGTAACAGAATACTAGGACTTTCTATTATAAATAGCTCGAAAATAACTTATAAATAGCTCGAACATAACTCGATTTAGTCGAAAACTGAAAGGCCTAAACGGTCATCATCGACCTAAAACGGTCATCATCAAGAATTCTCCTACTTGTAGAGTATTCAATCTTTGCATTTCAATATTTGAGAAATTCTTTTTCCTGTAACGGATTTGTTCAAATTGACGAATTCTGCGTTGAACATCATCATATAGATTATGAGAGGAAAGTGTTATTGATGAAGTTGAAGGACTGGTGATTTGATGATTAGGTACGAATATAACCTTTTTTCTATGAACGTGTCTTTTATTACCCTCACGTATTTTTTCTTCCTTTACTTCATTCTTCGATTCTTCCTTCAATCCCTCCTCAATTCCACGATCCTTCTCCTTATTCCTCGATTTCTCTTCTTCCCTCAATTTCTCTTCAATTCCCCCATCCTCAGCTTCTTCCACCAATTCCTCCTGATTTCCCTCACTCTCTTCTTCATTCTCCGATTTATCTTCCCCTCTTCTCAATTCATCTTCACTCTCAAAACCTCTTTCTTCATCCACAACTTCTCCATTTAAAGCCTCTTCTTCACCTTCTTCATTATTCACCTCCCCTACACTCAACTCCAATTCTTCATTTCTAACCTCCTCCTCTTCAAAATTATCATCATCCTCTTCCTCCTCTCCAACGTCCAATTCTTTTGCTTCAATTTCACGTCTTAGCTTCTCATGTACCAACTTTCTTAACAATTCCATTCTCAATTCTCTTGTTTGGGTCCAAAGCTTTTCAACCTTATATTTTAACTTTAAATATTTCTTAAAAGCCTATGCCTACATTAGCATTAGCCTTGTCCAGGTCACGTATAATTGTTTGATTGATGACTTTATCAAACCACAAAATGAGTGAGTTTAGTTTATCCTGCATCCCTTGGCATATCGTCAACACCTTAAATTGGCTAATAGACTTTATATCAAAGCATGCTAGGGACTAGGGCTTGGGATGAAGCTACGGCCAAAAGCTGGAGCTTGGTATGTATAAGTTAGAGCTTGAGATTAGTGAGCAGAATGAGCGATATATAAGAAAAATCTAAGTATTTGGACCCAATAAATCCGATTTTTCAGATAGCTCTTAGGGCTGTTAAACACCTTAAAAATGTAAGTAGCATATAGTAAACTCATTAACCCAATTGTCAACCGAAATTTTAAAATTCCTATCTTAAATTGAGGGATAATTAATTTTGAGGGTAACTATCAATGGAATTAACTAATCTAGAAAATTCAAGCTACATTATAAAACAATTCTTTTTGAAAATTAAAAAATTCCTTGCCCTTTTAAGTGCCACATTTGACTGTAAATCATTAAAAGCATTCTGAATTGCTAATTCCACTGACTGAATTTCTTCTTCCGTTACATAAGGGAATCTGACACGGCCTTCAAGAAATATTTTTTAAATTAGCTGTCAATATTTACCCAAATAAACTCTACATGATTGAATATTATTTATAGAATTGACAAAATTATTTCGAGCCTCAACCGCGGTGAAATAACGAGATCGTGCTCCATTAATTTGTTGGAGCTCTTGCCAGGAAGTGAGACCTGAATAAAGTATTGAATGGGGTTTGTTAGATGTTTTAGGGTTAAGGTATTAAAATAACATGCCGTAAGAGAGTTGAATTGATGCATGGATAAGTAGTGCCCTTTAAAATACAATTTTAAATTATTAGAAAATTCTTAATAAGGCCGTACTTCATTATAGAATATGCCTCCCAGAATAAATTTTTTCTATAATAAGGTCTTAAATTGGGGGTATTGCTTAAGCAGCTCCCTCCGCCCAATAGCTATAAGGTTCATTAGCCCTCCGCCCAATAGCTCAATGGCCCTCCGCCCAATACAATCTTTAAGAAAAATCTCTTATAATCAGGTAAACCTTAGATTGAGGCTAAGTTGAGGTTTTCGCCCCTACCAAGCTTTTAAAAAATGTTCCTTAATTGAGGGTATCTTATCTTGGAAGTCATTAAGAATTTTAAAACACCTTCCATTCGTCCACTTAAATTTTGCTAGTGTCACCCTCTGCAACCATTCTTGTGCGGATTCCATCTCCCTTACGGCTACAAGATCCATATATTCGGAAGAACCATTGACCGAACCTAATCATTATTTAAATTTTCAAATAAGCATAATTCCGCTCACAATAAATTTCTTCTTGTTTTTGATGTGCTTTTTCAAGTTTCTCACATTTTTCACGATAGCGGTTGGCAACAAGTTGTGCACGCGAATATTCTGCCTTAATTGTCGCTAACTCTTTAAATGAAGTCTCCTCTTTAACAATAGCCTAAACAATCAGAAAATTGTTAAAAATATCGAAAAACTCCCAACCGAATCAACCAATTCCTTCGCCTTTTCATGTCTACTCTGATAAATCCCTTGTTGTCGAAGGTGGGCTCGAATCGAGGGTTGTTCCAAATGTTCAAGATCTGCTCGAGCTTTCTCCCTTTTATTTTTAAACTATTTATATTTTAGATATCTCCCTCATTATACATACACTCTCTCAGGATTACCCCACAGCTCAGAGTTACTCTTACAGCATTTTCCAACAAGGGTTCTGGGGGGTCGGTTAACCCCTACTCCGTTTTTTATGTTACGGCCACAGACGAGGGCATTTTCATGCTACCATCTCAGCAAATTTTAAGCTATCTAAGATAGACCGCATTATAAGGAATGCTATTTCCAGCCCCAAGGTTTTATCTTAAAATTAGGTTTGATGATTTTTAGAAAGAATTTCTCATTTAACTTTCTACATTTACTAACATAAATCTTTATTCATGCTTACGTTTGTTTTTTCAACTCTTTGTGCCTTGCCTCCAAGTGAACAAGCTTTTTCATTGCTTCATCCGCAAGGTGATTTTTAATTTCCCAATTGCTTAACACTTGTTTTCTCTCCAATCTTCTTGCCATTCTTTCCAATTCCAAATATTCTTGTAAAAGTGTCTCTGTCAATTCTTGTTTTGGAACTTCAATACGAACCCTTTGAGTTCCCTCAGCTCTTATTTCGTCTTGAATATCATCGACAGGGCCTTCTAGATTTGGGGAATGTGAAAGATTTGATGTTGGATTTGATTGTCTGAGTTGTAGGAATCGAAAAATTAAATCCATTCCGCGTTGAATAAATATATTTGAAAGGCAATTGCCCATCAAACATAATGAAATGCTTCAATTTTTGTTTAAAATGTGGAGAAGGTGGAAGGATAGGAGTTGGAAAATAAATCTACTAGAAGGTGGAAAATTGCCATGTTTTATGAAAAAGCAATTTTTTAGTAAAAGGAATGCTTAAAAAATATTTAAAAATGTATTTAAAAAATTCTCTCACAAAATAAAATGCTCGTTTTTCTTTCAATTGGGCTTTAATTAGTACCTATTGAATTAAGTGTTCTGAATAAATTATTTTTAAATTATTGAAACATTATTAGACATTTTTTGTTAGTTTTAACTAGGGTTGCGCGAGGTTGAAGCCTCGGAATGACCGACCTCATGTCTCGGAACCTCTGTCCTCCAAGAACCTCGCAGAGGAGCAAGGTTAAATCAGATACGGGTTCTATTACCTAACCATAGCTTGAGGAAACCCTTACCCGCATTTTGGAATAAGTGTTCTGGGGTAACCTATATACGCGCAGCTGAGGGTTTGATAATCCGTCACCTTGTTTGTAGAATACCGCCTCTAGAAAAAAATTAATGATGAAAGACTTAAGTTATGCATGTATTCCAGGGATGTCACGGGTTACCCGAAACCCGAAACCCGGCCTTTTTTCGACCCGATACCCGAAACCCGATCCGAGAAATTTTCTAAAACCCGACCCGAAACCCGACCCGAGAATTTTTATTTTTCAAAACCCGACCCGAAACCCGACCCGAGTTTTCTCAAAATTTTCGCCCTCGTCGGAGAAAAAGGGAAGATTTTTAGCTTAATGATCTTCCAAAATTCTTAAAATTTTCGCCTGCGGCGCTGAAAAAGGAAGAAATCTGGCTTCGGGCCTTCCAGAATTTTCAAAATTTTCGCCTGCGGCGCTGAGAAGGGAAGATACCCGGACCTTTTTTCGACCCGAAACCCGAAACCCGATCCGAAGGAAATTTTGAAAACCCGATCCGAAACCCGACCCGACTTTTTGCTCAACCCGAAACCCGATCCGAGAAAAATTTTGGAAACCCGACCCGAAACCCGACCCGACATTTTTCTCAACCCGTGACATCCCTGATGTATTCAATTACTTTTAAAAATAAGCATATTTTCCTGCATCTTGAAGCTAATTTCTATAATATGTAGCTTTAATTTTAAAATAAATTTAAAAAATTATTTTAATAAAATATTTTGCAAAATTTTTTATTGAATTTTTCAAGGTAAATATTGGCAATTACAAACATCCACTCGACAGGAAGTGCAATATTTCTTGATGTCCTAAGTCTTGAGTTGCATTTAAGAAATCCCACTTAAATTTACAAGCCTGCCCTTATCGTGGCTTTCGATAAATTGAAAAAATAGTTTGTTTAGGGGTAGAAAGAAATATTTATATGAGAATATTTCACGTGCTTACCGTATTTTCTCGATTAATTCCCCTCCCTCGAACAATTCCCCCTCTCGATTAATTCTCCATGCAAAGTAAGGGTTGAAAAAATAAAATTCCCCAGGGGAATTAATCGAGAAAATACGGTATTTGCTTTGAAAGGCGAATTAAATAGATAGTTTTATTGTATTTATCAATCTACTCTTCATCTAGGCATTCGAACAGCCCTTATAATTTTCTTTTCCCAATGTTTGGAATAGTATTGCTTTTAACTACATATTTTTAAGTATTTCTTTTAGCTTAAAATTTTATTTTAAAAGTAAGATATCTAATAAAACAAGAAATTTTTTCAAAAATTAAAACAAGTTGGCTAGCGAGTAGTTACCCCCCCCCCATAATGTCTCAGTAACTTTACGCGAATATTATCTTCTATCCTTAAACTTTTCACAAATTTTATCTTAAACTCTTAACTTTAAGGTAATTTTACCTCCTAATCCCTAACTTCACATCAGTAATATCTTTTAGTGCTTAACTTAGCAATTTTACCCCCAAAATCTACATCTTCCATCCCTTAACATTACATCAATTGTTTCTTCTATTGCTTAACTTTACATTAATTCTATCTTCTAATCCTTAAGTTTACATCAATATTATTTGTTTGTGCTTAACTTTACATAGAAGATAATATTCGCGTAAAGTTACTGAGACATTATGGGGGGGGGGTAACTAATCTAGCGGAATATATTTCATTGTTTCTGTTATTATTCAGAATGAAAAACTTAAAATAAAAATTTTGTTAGGGTTTTATATAACTCAAATCCGAAAATGATATTTAATAAAAATACTAATTATATGTACTGTCAGAAAATTATAAGCACCCCCAAGTTATATTTAAAATTTGAAAAAATTATTTTTAGTACTTATTTTTACTGTTAAAAATAAGCATATTTTGCTACAATCTGGAAGCTAATCTCTAGAATGGTTTAAATTTTAAAATAAATTTAAAACAATTATTTAAATAAAATATTTTGCAAAATATTTTAAGGAATTCTGCAAAATAAAATTAAATATCGGCAATTACAAACATCCACTCGACAGGAAGTGCTATATTTCTTAATGTCCTAAGTCTTGAGTTGCATTTAAGAAATCCCATTTAAATCTATAATGCCTGCCCTTATCATGACTGTCGATAAATTGAAAAATAAAATTTTATATGAGGATATTTCACGTGTCCTTTCGCTTTAAAATATAAGACGCTACGCGTTACACGCGTAGCTGATTGCTTTAAAAGGTGAATTAAATAGCTAGTTTAGCTGTATCTACTCATGTAGGCATTCCTTATAGTGACAGTCGCTACTAAATTGAACAACAACGAACAGCCTTATAATTTTCTTTCACAATGTTTGGAAAAGTAAATTTATTTTAGCTAACAAAACAGTAAAAACAACTAACAAAACAAGATTACTGGGCTAATTAAAGGGTTGAAGTCATTTTCGTTGTTAGGGTTAAGTCAATTACGTCCTATATGTATAACTCAAATCCGAAAATGATTTTACTAATTATATGTAGTAGAAGCCTTCTAAAAATCGGGATTTGATTTAAATTTTACTATTTAATTTAAGGATGAAAATTTTCAATTTAATCCTTTTAAATTTTTATTTTCTTCAATTGATTTCATTGTTATTTGGAATGTATCCAGGGGGTCCTTCAGGATCGCAACCAAGAGGAATGCATCCTGGAGAAAGTTCGAGATCGCAACCACGAGTGATGTATCAAGGAGAAGGTTCGGGAACACAGCAACCAGTGGCGGAAGATGTTTGTTTTATTGTAGCGAAATAAAAAATATACAATTTTAATAGGAATTTACTCAATTAAAAGGACTAATTTTTCCTTTTCTTGAAAGAGTTGGCGACAACAGGATTCTTCAGGGAATAGTACCTCGGATGTTAAGTAATAGCTATTTTTTGATTACCGTATTTACTCTATTATAGCCCCCCTCTCAATTAGAGCCCCCCTCCTTAATAAAGCCCCCGTTTCGAGGATGGTTGAAAAATAAAGCCCCCCGTCTCTATTAGAGCCCCCCTCTTTAACAGAGCCCCCCTTTTTGTCAAATGTCAAATAAATAATTTAAGCAAAAATGTTGTTCCCTTTCCCCAGTCCCTCGTTATAGTCAGAGTCGCGCATGTTTCAATACTGTGTGAATACACAGTTTATAAAAAATAGTTAAATCGTACGCAATGGGGGAATATAGAGAGCTCTTCCCTATAAGACTCGTGTATTGGCCAGCTGACAACTCTTTTGATGAATGAAAAAGTGATTTCCCTTTGCATATTCATTTAGGACGTACTTGTAGGCACCAGGAACGAGAAAAATTACCGATTTCGTGAAAAGAAATCGGGACGGCTCTTTCCCTGATATTCACCAAATACTTTCCAATCGCTGTCCCAAGGATAAGTTAGTCGTGATGTTAAGCTTAGATAATGGGTGGCTATCTTTTGATATAAAATTTATTATTTAATCCCCTATTAATTCCCAACCTGTTAACCCAATTAATAATAAATAAATTAAAATAAATGACTCATATCACTCTTGATCCTTGAAGCCCCTGATCTTCCAGATTACATTATTTCCTTCAGTTCTCACAAATTCCTAGATATACTTCGTACTCCACATTCCTCAACAATGGAATTCCAAAAATAATGGACTAATTGAATGTTATCCTTTATCCAAAAGTACATAAAACCTTAGCTTTATAATTTTTGGAGAAAAGGAAAACTGTTGCATGCATTATCATGCAATACCTATCTTGTTTTTGTGCTAAAACTACAATTGATCTTAAAAGTTATAAAGTCTATAAATTGAATGAAAAACCTGTTCCTATTTTTAAAATAGGTTGAAAAATACAGCCCCCCGTCTCTATTAGAGCCCCCCTCCTTAATATAGCCCCCGTTTGGAGGAAGGTTGAAAAATAGAGCCCCATGGGGCTCTAATAGAGTAAATACGGTACTTTCAATTTATTTTTAAAATTAAAGACGATCTTGACCGCGTCGAAGATATTACTAATGTTAGAAAACAATATAATAATTTGGTTTATGCATATATTGAGTTATTGCGTTATAACAATGCAATTGATAAAGATATAAACTTCTGGTTAAAGTATCTAAATCAAAATATGGTAAAAATATTATTTCGTTTATTTAAATTCATTTTATCTAGAGTTGGACAAGACGAGACCGATACCGAGACCGATACATAGATTCTCGGCTTTTTTCCAATATCGGTCTCGGTTTTTTCATTCTCGTTCTCGGAACCGATACCGAGATTCTCTGTCCATTTCTCGGCGAGAAACGATACTGACTCAAAGAAACAAAATCCTCAATATTGTCCAAGATTTCGTCCATAATTTTTTTCGGATATCCGTTCATAATAGAGAAATTGAATTTTTTCGAATAAAGTCTTCTAAAATTAAA